GTGAAGAATGTATATTGTGTTGTTGGGTGGAATATTCTATAGACATCCATTAGGTCCATTTGATTTATGATATCATTTAGTTCTAGGATTTCTTTGTTGATTTTTTTGTTTGGATGACCTATCTATCTATTGGCGTTAGAGTGGTATTAAAGTCTCCCACTACCACTGTGTTGGTGTCTATATGTGGTTTCAAGTCCTTTAGCGTATGTTTGATGATATTGGGTGCACTTACATTGGGTGCATGTAGGTTGATAATTGTTATTTCTTTTTGACATAGTTCCCCTTTTATTAGTATGAAGTGTCTTTCTTTATCTAGTTTGACCAATGTAAGTTTGAAGTCTACTTTGTCTCATATAAATATTGCTAATCCTGCCTGTTTTCAGTGGCCACTGGCTTGGTATATCTTCTTCCAGCCTTTCACCATAAGCCAGTGTTTATTTCTGTCAACAAGATGGGTCTCTTATAAACAATAGATTGCTGGATCTTCCTTTTTAATCCTGTTTGCCAAATGATGTCTTTTGATAGGGAGTTGAGTCCATTGACATTCAGTGTTAATATTGATAGGTATGTGGTGATTCCTGCCATTTAGTTGTTTTTGTTGCTTAAGGATTTGGTTGTGTGTATTCAGATCAATGCTGCTCTCTGATTACTTGTCTTTTCTTCTCCTGTGGTTTGATGCTTCCCATCCTCTCATGGTTTTGTTTGCTTTCATCTTCTATGTGCAGAATTCCTTGTAGAATCTTCTGTAGTTATAGTTTGGTGTTCATAGACTGTTTTAGTTTCTGTTTATTGGGAAGATTTTTACTGCTCTGTCAATTTTGAATGATTATTTTGCTGGGTAGAGTATCCTAGGGTTGAAGTTATTTTCATTCAGTGCCTGAAATACCTCACTCCATGCCCTTCTTGCTTTTAAGTTTTCCGTTGAGAAATCTTCTGTTATTTTGATGGGTTTACCTTTTTGTGTTGTTTTTTTCTCCCTTATAGCCTTCAATATTCTTTCTCTGTTCTCTGTGCTTGTTGGTTTAATGATAATATACCTTAAGGACGTTCTATTTTGATCAAATCTGTTTGGTGTCCTGGAGGCTTCCTGCATCTGAATGGGCAAAACTTTCTAGACATTTGGGAAATTTTCTGTTATCATTTTATTGAATATGTTATGTATCCCTTTGGTTTTTACCTCTTCTCCTTCTTCAATGCCCATGATTTCAGGTTTGGTCTTTTGATGGAGTCGCTGAATTCTTACATATTCTTTTCACACAGCTCTTGAGTTATTTGACTAAGATTTCTTCTGTTTTTTCTTTAATTTTTATTTTATCTTTGAGCTCTGAGATTCTATCTTCTACTTGTTCTAGTCTGCTGGAGTGACCTTGCACTCTGTTTTTTTCTTTGACTAAAGAGACTTTTTATTTCCAGGATTTCTATTTGATTTTTCTGAGGTTTTATAATTTGTGTTGTCCTCCTTAATTCATATATCTCTCTTTTTATAGTGTCCTTTGTTTGAAGTCCTCTTTGAGTTCATTTAGTTGTTTCTGTGTCTTCTCATGTTCTTTATTTTTGTTGTCTTGAAATTTCTTGAGTTGCATCTTGTACATTCTTGTTAACCATGTCTAATATCTTCTCCATGAATTTCTCAGAGATTTCTTCCAAGAGTTCCTCTTTGAGGGTTTTTATGTGGGTGTCAGTGGGCTCCTTTGTGACATTTATCATTGTTTTGTTGAGGTCAGGAACTGGATATCCATTTTCTTCATTTCCCACTGAATCCTGTATTGAATTATTTTTTTGAGGAGAGTGCTTTCCATCCCTTCTTCTTGCCATCTCTCCACTTGGTGCTGTGCAACTATGCTTTTGGTAGGCTAGTTAGTGGATTTGGTTGCCTGATTTCTTTCCCTGATTTAATTTTTGTGTTGTGACTGACTTGGTTATTAGCTAGGTTGATGTGCTCTTTCTGTCCCTGGTCTGGAGGTATAATTTAGAAATAACAAATTCACAGGTTCAATGCCAGACAGTTGTTTACATATTATATAGAGAACCCCTTGATGGTAATACCTATAAAAAGTCTGAGTATGGGGGGGTAATGGTTATCAGACTAGTTATAGATTTTGTGGAATTGGTAAAGGTGGCACTAAAAAGGGGGGGTGGGAAAAGGGGTGGGTGGGGAAATGACATAGGGGATGCTAGGTTTTGTGGCCCTTGTGTGTGTTTGGATATATTTCTGCTGTTGTAGTGGAGGGTGTCTGTATGGAGGGGTTTGCAGGGGGCTGAAGTTGTGTACAGTTGGTACAGTAGGACAAATATATTTACTTGTCCATTAATTGATAAAAAACCAAATTCTTGTACTTAGATTAAATTAGTTCGTTAAAATGGCTTATTTTGTCATAAGTTATTTCTGACTAGAAAACTGTTTTATTTTCTATGTGTTTGTAATATACATTTACCAAATGCACTGTTCCCAGGAATATTAGTCCAAGCAACTTGCATACTATTTATGTAAAACCAATGGTAGTGTTAATTAGTGAGCAAATCACTATTCCAGGCCAACATGATCTCTAATTTTATTTAACAAATTCTAAATCTATAGGGCATGCTATAAGTTTGCAGCTAATTATTTTGAAATCTTAAAATAATTTTCAATTGTTTTAAAGTTTGGAATTGTTTTTAAGGTTCATGTTCAATTTCAGCATAATATGACAATTTAGTTTCTTGCTTATGCATGATTTTATACATTAAGATGCACAAGAAAAGCAATTATTTTTACAAAGCAGATTCCCCCAAACCACCAGAAGAAGTCTTTGTGTAACTAAACACCCTGCATTTTGAAAAGCTTCTCATTTACTACTGATGCAGCAATTCAAGATTGATCATACCAGAAACACTGCCTGCAGTGTAGGAGATACAAATAGGAATCTAGCCTTAAATTCCTGTCTCAAGATATTTAGTGAGTGACTAACATAAAAAGCCAATATTTTAGACTATGTGCTGTCATGATTACAGACTCTGTGTTGTCTTTCTTTTGTTGCTATCTCCTTACACAGCCAAAATGGAACCCAAAAGACGGCTACTCAGAAGGGTTTCACAGGTGTTACCTCCTCTGCCCCACTGTTCTAAGTTAAGGATCACTTCCTGAGTGAACAGTTTTATAGTTCAATGGTTTACTATTATTGTTTAACAAGAAGTTATTATACTCTAGAGAAGAAATAAATCTGCTGTATTAAGTGATACAAATTACAGTAGGAAAAACTTTTATTGCTTTTCCTTATAAGGTACATCTTTTTTCAACAACCAGAGCATGTCATAGGCACACTTTATTCCTTCTACTAGTGAGGTCCACTCTGGAGGCCCAGGCATCAGAGAGAAATTTGCTTGGTACCCAAAGAATCAGAATAAAGTGTTGGTTATTATCAAAGGCTGTTTCCATCAAGTTGCTGAAAGTATTTGCTCATCCACAATTTAGGAAGTTGAATCTGAAGAACCACTTCCTGTGATAGACTCTAGATATATTTTCTTTTATGCTGGATAAACACAGATACATTCTTAGTTTCTTACTCTTTATTATCACATCTCATAAACATCTTTATTTCATGCCTGACATTTTGTAATTACAACTAAGTAAGTCATTTTGATGTTACAGTCATGTCTTAAAGAAAAATTGACCGGGTAATTTGATTAGAGACTTAGTAATGCAATAACAAATTTGGTAGGGAGGAATCCATTATATTTTGGCTATTGGCACCTTGAACTTCAAAGAGTAACCTTTCCTTGATTTCCTCAGAGTTCAGTCAATAATTCTGTTTTATATTTAATATAGCATATATTAACATATATTTAATAGCTGAATAGCAAATTTCTTAATATAACATTCTTTTGGGCTTTTTCTTAAAATGAATGGAACCAGAAACTCAGTAAATATCATTTATTTATCTCCTTTATTTATCTCCTTGTAGTAAGTGTGATAGATTATGATTTGGCAAACCTTAGTAGCTCCAAGTCTATTAAATGGGTTAAAAATTTTCTTAACTTGCTTGCACTCTTTATTAACAAAGCAAAAAGCTTTTTAACTGTTTCTTAAAATTGTAAAACATCTACTCATTACCTTAAGAACCAAATCTAACTGCTTTCCCTATTTAAATACTGTTAAAGTAAAAAGTGATTTTTTTCTGGGAAGGAGATGAAGGACATTTTGGGAAGTAACAATTATCCTCACTAGATAAGGAACTCAGGTGTTCTTTTTTCTTGCTTTCATTGAAGGAGATATATTTATCCATCTTTTGTAATTATCTCTTATTTAGTTCCAAGACTAGTAAGATTAAAACTATTCACAGGTATGCTTTTACGATTTAAGTTGGCCCCAGACATTTCTTTGTCTTTGTGAACTACGTGTTTCATAAAAATAAAATTTGTATAAATGGATTTTTTTGTAAAGGCCTCAGATACAAGAAGTGGTTGATATTAGGGTTTTTCCTAGCATTTTCCCTCTTAATCCTTAAGCATTTTAGTAATCTCACCTTGTCATCTCTATTATTTACAGATTATTAGTTCCTCTTTTATAATTCATAAAATTTATTGTTAAGCAGTTATAGGTTATAATACCAAAAATGAATAGAAAGCACAGAAAGTCTCACATCTATAGTCCCCACACATGCACAGCTTACCCCACTAATGACATCCTCAATAGCGTGGTACACTAGTTCCAATCAATGAACCTGCATTACCGTATTATTATCACCCAAATACATTCCAAATTCTAAATTTTGGATTTTAAAGTTTGGTTCCCAGTTCCATTTTGGAAGAAAATTATTCAGTGTATGTCAGGAACTCAATTTACTTTGTACACGATAGGATACCACAAATGTTTAAACACACTTAGCTATCATTTTCTCTGAAAAATCAATTACATATTCTGAGACATACATTCTGTATTTATTTCTGTGATAAATGTTTGGTTACTTTCAAGCAAAACCTCTACTTATCAAGTTTATTAACTTTTTCTCTGCTTCTAATAGGTGTTCCCTACTTAAAATGTTGCCTTCACTAAGAGTCCTCAATGGTGATATTCTACCCCCTGGTTCAGAAATCCACACTAAGGAACACCATCACCTAGAATCAGGCTGTTTCCTGGTTCTTTGTCAGCACCAGATTCAAGAATTCACTTTACTAAATGCAAACTACAAGACTGGAAAAGGGTACCATTATTACCTTATTTTTATGGTATTTTAAAATAAAAAGTTATATATGCATAGACATGATTTAAAATATTCTAATTATGGCAGTCATGTTTTTGCTAAAAATAGTGTGTTTGGGGGAATATGTTACTTTTTATTTTTTCTGGCATCATGTGTTTTATTCTTGTGTATTTTTCACATAATTATCAAATACTCAGCCATAAATTTACCCAACAAGAACTCTGGCCAAAGTTGTTTATCTTCAAAGTACTCATAAATTAGCATAAATGAAAATTGGATAAGTAACTAGTTACAATGGAATAAGGCAAGTGTTGCATATACATATTAGATGCGAATGTATCATATTACACATGTACTGTGTCTATATATTAAGATACTATGGGACCACAAGTACAAAAAACAGTCAAGGCTTGCCTGTTTTCAGAGACAGAAGCTGAGAGTTGTCTTAATCAAATACAGAAGAAAGAGAACTTCTTTTCTCCACCTTCAATTTTGAATGTCTTATGACGAATGAATTCTAATTGATACTTTTATAACTGAATATTTAAATGTGCATTGCTCAAGAAAATGCAAATAAAAAGGCAAATGATTTCATGTTTGTCACTTAATGATGACTTCATTGTAACTGGAAAAATAAAATGTTCCCTAATGTCTAAACTTAATTGCTAAATTATATGCTTAAATTATTGCTTCCTATACTATCATACATCTTTAGCCTATATAATTTAATTTTTTATTTAAACATCTTTGAATCTAGTTGATTCATATTAAAAACAAATTTTGCATCTATAAAAATAATTTCATTTGTTATTGAACTAGTGGTTATGTTTAATAAATTATTAATAAAAGATTATTTATATTCATATTTATGCAAATATAAACTAATTTCCTTATATATGTGTAGCAATGTAGACTTTTAAATATGTGAGACTTCACATTCCTTGTCTTGAAATTTAGATTTTAACATCAAATTTGAAGTTTAGATTATTAATTGTCATTACAAGCTAAGTTTCATTTCAGCATTGAAAATGAAAAATAGACTACATTTTACATGCTTAATTCATAAATACTGGTGAATTAAACAGCTAACCACAAACGTTGATATCTCAGTGTTTGAAATGAATCTTTTCTGCATTATTAACTCACAATTAATAAAATGCAAAAATATTAAAAAATATATTGGTTGAACTTAGGCTAATGTCTAAGTACATTAGGAATATAAGAAGAGTCTAATTGTCTCTACATTTTAAGAAATAACTATAGCTTTCATTTTGTTTTCTGTGCTTAAATATCATTATATTTCATATACTGCATTACTTCAGAAAATCAAGCCAACTTGTGAACATATATTAAACATAGCCAGAATATATTAAAAAATAAAATTTCCTACTGCTGGGAAGCAAAATCAGAGTCTCATGCATGCTAGGCAAATGCTCTACTATTGAACCATATCCCTGAGCCCTGAAATAAGTAACACTAAAATTTTTAAAAAAATTGAAATAAAATTAGGTAAATGTATCCAAGAATAAAGCTCATGCAAGTGCAAAGTCCTTAACTTTAGAAGTGGGAGTTTCAAATCTAGCAAACATGAAAGTTTGATTAATTACATAGTTATTAAAATCCAAAAGATTGAAACACAGCAATTATTCAACAGAAACTTAATCATTTATCCTTTAAAATATCTGAATTATTCTTTGCAATGGATTATTTTTCCAGAGATAAATGGGAATAAGAATTTTCCCATAATGTCAGATTTTTATTTAAATGTCCAATGCAAATATTTTCTGTGGCAAGAGTCAATGTGGAGAGTAGTTTTATTTCATAAATAACTTCTCCAAATTTAGGCAACCATGATTTCTTGTGTTTATTTATAGTGAAAGATTGAAATTTTTTTCACTTATTTGTACCAAAAATACCTTGAATAAAAATGGTTCTAAAACTGCCAGACATTTTTGTCTGGACTGACATTTAAATTAAGTGTACAAATATTTTCAAATTTTGTTTAAAATGAGATCAATTTTATATAATAATGAGAAATAACTTATAATGAATTTTATAGTTAGTATTAATGGTTCTTTTAGTCATAGAACATTTATTTTCAAAATATATACATTTTAATATTTGTGGATTAATTCTTGTTATTAAATGTTCTCATTATGTATTTGTTCAGGGACATATTCACTTTGGATGCTTCAGAAAATCTCTGCCATTACTTTAACAAATTGATGACACTTAGTAAGGAATTCCGGTATGCACATGAACACTGGGCTGTAAATGTCACCAAGAGAGATGAATCTGAAGCTGAGCAAAATCATTTGTCCCCTCCAGACAGTGCCAGGACACTGCAAAATGGAGTCCCCCACTCTTGTGCAAGTGAACATAAGGCAGATGTACCAGATATAGTTGAGACATTGGTGGACTTTGACTCTAGTCACTCTGCATTAAGCTATTCCTGTATATGTGAAGATCTGGAAGGAAGAAATCAGGAAAGAATTGGAGGCCAGAAGAGAGAAGACAGCAAGACAAGCAGTATTTCCACCAAAAGGATCCCACTCATGGAAACCATGATGGCAAATTGTTTGCTGAGTAATCACCAAAATACTGAACAGAATGAAAAAATGTAAGATCTATAAGTCATTTGTCTTTTTATAGGTGCATGTTATATTTGTTATTTTTGATAGATGTTATTTTAGTCAATGGAACCAAATAATAACTTGGTAATTTAAATCAATATAATGTTCCATATTAATTACATTAACTATATTTTTGTGATGTGCACAAATTACTAATCACAGGGAAGAATAATTTGGTTAAGTTTTGGTCAGTTTTGGATTAATTTAATATTATTTAATTTAAAATGAGTAAGTGTGAAATATCTTTCTGCTTTAAAATTTCTAAGTAATTAAAAGAATTTTTCATAAGAAATAAAATAAACATTCTAAAAAATGTTCTAAATAATGTTATTTCACTTTTAAAATATACATTTGCATATGCTAAATATTTGCTCATTGATCTAGTAAACATTTAAGATGCATGTGTGCAAGAATTTGAATATGTGGCCATAACTTTTTTAGCATACTAGCTCTATGAGACAAGGCAGTATTCTCTGTGATTAATCACATAAACCCCTTGCACCTGTTAAACGCTTTCAGAAAGCTAATTCCTGGCTTTGTTTATTGAAGTAGCAATGACTGTTTTCCATTCTCTCCTCTAAGCTTCTTGTTATTTTTTCCTTTAGTCTCAGTGTCAATCCAAAAAGAAAAATTGTTCTGTTCAACTTTTTCTATAGTGACTGCTACCAAGGAGGGCAGTGTAGCTAGCCTTGTTTTTCCCAGCCTTACTTTTTTCAGTTGTCAGTGTAAACAATGATTTCTGGTAGCTATGATAAGTATTTTGACTGTTAAAGGGACATTTATTTTCCAATGTAAAAATTTTAAGTTATTAAAAGTGGCTTTACTATTTCCTGGGTTTTATTTTAATTTTGTTGGTGATGCTAGGGTTTGAACTCAGGGCCTCACACTAGCTAGGCAGGGATTCTACCACTTGAGCCACTGTGCCAGTCCTTTCTTGTGTTGGGTATTTTTGAGATAGGGTCTCACAAATTATTTGCCCTGGTTGGCCTTGAACCATGATCCTCCTGATCCCTGCCTCCTGACTAGCTAGGATTATAACCATGAGCCACTTTCATCTGGCTTTTATTTTACTATTTAATTTCATGGGTGCTTTTGCTCCAAACCCTGTGGAAGTTGCCAATTGGAATTTTATATGAACAACACTTGGAAGAACATTTTTATTAATGATATATAAAATAACCAAATGATGATAATAATAGGTAAAGGATAAAGAGCTTAAAGTATAGATATGCTAAAGCGCTATTGAATAACAAAAAGAAACAAACAAAAGATGTATACCCAACTGCTGAACCTTGCCACTCAGTGATTCAGGAAGATTTACTCTCAGTGATGGTGATGTAGAACAGAGTTGTTTTTCAACATGGAGAGTACCTCCTGCTCAGGAAATCCCAAAGTCAACTTCTTTACCTGCTTGCATTGTAGTACAAGGCAATTCATATGTAAGTCACTGAGGAAAATACCCTTCATCTACCTCTTGTTTTGTTTTTTCTTGGGAAATATTGAAAATGTTAGGTTGAGGTATTCACGCAGTGAATAACTTTACAAGAAATTCGTAATTACAGCCAGTACAACTTATATGTATCTGTAGAGAAATATAAAATATTATCTTAGGTTCAGCATACTTCCTATAAGCCTTTCATTCTTTTCTAATTATCCATTAACATAGGTTGTCTGATTCTTTTCCATATCACCCAAAGCACTTATTACAGTGTTTTGAATTCTCCTAGTTTATTTTTGTTTAAATAATGAATAAATAAATGAATTCATGACAAATGTGAATTAAATCCACAGCAAATATTTAAAAGTTCTTTTAATCTTGGGAGTAGGAAATGGTTAGCTGAGATGGGAATATTTGTTCCAAGTATTAGGAGTACAAATAATTTGTCTGATGTTTCAGTCACTAACTTCAATTTCGTATCCATATTGAGATTGATCAAAGGCTTCTACTGGAAGTAGGTAAATCAGCAATGATGATGATAGTAGTCTCAATAATAAAACAGAACAGGAACAGAAAATTATTGTATCATTCTTTTTTAACTTTACACAAATACATGGGGAAATGGATGGTCGTATCTGAGAGAGTCTGTTGCCTAAATTCTCTTTGTCTTAAAGTGAGTAGCATAAGGAAAGGGAAATTTTCATTGGGTTTGGCAATTATAAAATTACTTACTCTTGCAAGGAGACATTGGTGAATGGACTCCCATGCTTCTAATGCCTTTTAAGCCAAACTTGGGAATTTGAAGAGAAATTAAAACATAATAGTTAGCACTTTGACTATTCTCTATACCTTGATAACATTCCTGCAATAATCCATGTTGGAAAAAGATTCCAATTAGGAAGAATCAAATGATTAAATACACTGTGAACCCATTCATAATCAATGTACGTATTTATTCAAATTTTGTTATTGTGCAGCCTAGGAGGATATGGATACATAAGCCTTGACCAATTCAGTCCCTACATTGGAAAATAGCCAAGAGCCGGGATGCAAGTTTCCTGCTGGGTTTATTATATGTGATTTAACAATTTGCCAGTAGGCAGAAGGAAAGAGAAGCTAGTGATGATCTCATAGACTCATTTCTTTTATGGTGAGGAAGGCCATTTACTCTTCCTCTTCAAGGTTGTTTTCTTACAATGAAAAGGATCTCTCCCTTCTTTGCCAAATAAGCATTGGTTTCTGTATTTGTCCCCTCTCTTCTGCATCATCACTTCCCTCTGCCTCTTTCTCCTCAGAATCATAAATAAAAATTCTCCGTAAAGACTCCCTCATAAAAGAAAGAAAATTCCATTGTACTCTGATCCTTCTCTAAACCATTGACCTATTCTCTCTTTCAGATTTGATTGTTTCTATATTATTTTTACTTCTATACTTAAACAAAAGAAGAGGTATTTTTAAATATTTTTAAATTTTATGTGATTCATATTCAAAATTAGCTCCTGATGATTTCTTGTGTATAACTGTGTATTCATGAATATTAAAACTGTTTTCTTTCTCCTCTTCATAGTATGGCAGCTGTGGTAATCCAGTCACATTGGCGTGGTTATGCAGTGCGCAGAAAAATTAATTTCTCTACAAAGACACACACTGCTGCAACAGAACCCCAGCCAGATTCCTTCATGAATAATCAGACTATTTTAAAGAAAGAGAAAAGAGGAATTATTATGACTATTCAAGAACAGAGGGAGAAGGCTGCTGTTATTATTCAGGTTAATTTCAATCTTTTAGTAACATGGTTAGTCGCAAAAGCTGTCTAAGTCATCTTTCACTAGGTTGTTCTGCATAAAAATGAACTCCCATCTCGGTAATTTACAATTACATGGATTTGTTTCATGCTCATATGAACATGCAGACTGCCGTTTAGCGATAGGTTGGAGATGGTTCTGCTTAGCATATTGACTGAAGAAATACTCTTTAAATCTGAAATAGTGTTTTCATGACAGTTTATCAAGCTGAACCATTTTTGACTAGCCAAGTCTTATTTGGCCTAACCTGATAGTCATTCCTAGAAATATGCTTAAAAATCTACCAAAATAATTGTTGAAGTTCTTAGAATACTATTCAATTAAAAAATTCAGAAAGCACAAAATGCAGACTTGACAGTCTCACTTAGATTAGATTTTAAAATGAATTTTATTTGGATTGCATTCTGATTTTTATTTATTCACTCTTACTTCTGTTAGACTTGTCAGGTACTGTGTTAGACTTAGGAATAAAACTGAAAACAAAACTGACAAATTTCTTATGGAAATTGCATCTTGATGGAAGAGTCAAACATAAGCTAAATAAATACATAAAATAATGGCTACACAAATTCACAGTACTGTGTCTCATTTGGAAGATAGTAACTAAAAGAAAAGTTAACATTTTCCTCTTTCATTCACAAATATTTACCATAAAAGTCTAACTAGCTTACATTATGTTAGAATGTACAATTAATAATTGTTAGTTAATGATAGGAATGAAGGACAAATATAAATCAGCATGGAATGAAAAGGGGAAGTTTATAATGTAGTTAGAAGAGGTACGGAAGACCACAAAACTTGACATTGGAGTGAGAGATTAAGCTAAGAGATATCTGGGGAAGAAACGCTGTAAGCAAAGTAGAATGAGATCTAAAGATCATGACCTGGTACCGTACTCACAGTGTTTAAGGACCATCAAGAAGTCAGAGTGACTAGAGAATGATAAAGTGGAGATATATAGGACTTTTAAGTCATAGGTCATTGTTTAAGACTTTGATGTTTGCTCCTGATCATTTGGGAAGACACTGGAGAATTTGTAAAAGTGGACTGACACTGTGAAATGTCCTTTATGTTGCAAATATATTGCAAAAGGGCAGGAGTGGTAGCAGAAATGGTCAGTGAGAAGACTATTGCGGTATCCTGAGAGAAATAATGGGGGCATAGTCTGGGATGTGAGCAGTGCAGATAGTAAGAATGTCATATTTCAGACTATATAATTATTTACCATAAAGGTATATATACATTTTTTTTTAAAGTAAAGGCTGATAATGTTAGTGCTTAGGCTGCACAGGAGGAGGAGATAGGTTCATTGTCTGAGAAAATTGTCTTTAAAAACCAAGCTAATGCAAAGGGCTGAAAGCATGCCTCTAATAGTAGAGCACTTGCCAAACAATCATGGGGCTCTGAGCTCAAACCTCAGAACTGCCAACAACAACAACAACAATAATAATAATAATAGTGTTTGAGGATGGATGAGGTGCATGAAAGGGAGGAGTTACAGATGCTTCTAAGACATTGAGCATAAACACCTGGAAGAATAACCTGAAAATTAAGCAAAGAAGGAAATCATATTTTTTCCTCTGGTTTCTACCTTTCTATGAAGGCCATACTTTTTAAAGAGAATCACTTTATTATGTTACTAATGAAATAGGCAGTATTTTAATTTACTTAGCTTCTTTGCACTGTACTCCTCCTGAAAACGTGTGTAGACAGAGCTTTTACTGCTGCTTGATAGTGGTAGTATTGAAGGGAGGGTACTGATTCAAGACAACTCTGAGAAAAAGAAAGAAACCTCAGTTACTCTCTCAAAGTATTTATTCTGTTCATAAGTAGTATAGATTTCATGATTCCAGCTCTCACTATTGGATGAGCAATGCACTTTTCAGCGTTTGATAGTAAATGTCTATGCAACTTCAGCTTCATTCCCCTCAATGAGTGGCAGAGTGGCTCAAGTAGTAGAGAGCCTGCTTAGTAAGCAAGAGGCCCTGAGTTCAAACCCCAGTCCTGCAAAAATACCAAAACAAAAAAAGTTCATTACCCTATGAACCTATCTACTCGGCAGCATTGCTATGAATATCCTTTGGTTGAGCTGCTTGTGACTGTAATAAAAGGTAGCACAATCCGGCCTTTCTTTGTATAACTTAGGGCACAGCTTTTGGATGTCATGTTCATCAACTCATTGAATTCAACTTCATTTTCTCTTCTGCTGCATATGATCATCTAGTTTCTTCACCTACTCATCTTAAAGTATAAATTCTCAACAGCTTAAGCATCGGGAATAAAGCAGGATATGGCAGAAAAAGCCTCACCTTTAGAAAGTTCAAAATGAAAATTTCAAAAAAGATATGTTGTAGACTTCTTTCTGCTTAACAAAGTTCACATTCTTTTTTTTTCCTTCTGGAATTCAGGCTGACTAGATTTCCCAGATTTTCTTGCAGCTTATTGCAGCCTTCTTTCTTAGTCAGTAGAATGCAGTGGAAAGTATGTGCACTGCTTCTGTATCTGCCCCATAAAATCTCCTACATACACTCCAGCATTATTTTCCTTTTCTGATTGGCTGAAATGTGCACAGTCCCTGGGCATTTTTGAGACTGAAGAGTCTGCAAAGCCCAGATACCTGAGTCACATCATGTTAAAGTGCTGTCCCATTGATTTGTTTATCCTCTCAGTATTTTTGTGATCAAGAAATAAATTATTATTTGGGGTTGTAGATATTTTTGGATTTTTCTGTTATAGTGCTTACCTTAGCCCAATTTAAGAGATGGAGAAATACCTTGAGCAGCAGACAAGAATCAAAGTAAATATGTAACAGTGTTTAGTATAAGAAAATAGTGGAAATAAACAACAACAACAACAAAAACCCAGAATTTCATGTTGCTGGAATAATAATAAATTATGGTGCAATTAGACTACAAAAAGAGCTAGAATATTGGATATAGGAGCATGGCCATAGATGTGTGATAGACGCTAACAGGAAACAAGTATATAGTATGTTCTGGGGTGGTGGATGATGATAGTTAAGATAAAGATGTCAGATATGGTCAGTAGAAGTAGAATTGTCTGACCAGGAAATTGATTTGAGTATGTAGGAAAGATGAATAAATTGCAAATAAATTACCACAGAAAAATATGCCTTTAACAAAAGCAAGTTAATTAAGAGAATAATCTGAACATAATTTAAAAACTCATTTATAGGTTCACATTATTTCTAATAAACTGAATGGAGATGACTTGGACTTGAAATCATGATGCTACACAGATTCGTGAGGGGAGTAGCTCTAGGTATCACACAAGGAAAGCACACACTATGGCTCAGTAGAAGTTCTAGTCCTGAAGATGATTTTTGTGAGCAATAATAACCAAGCTTTTGGATGAGGCCATTGAAGACCTACATTAAAGGTTGCCCTTTCTATTATTTTCGCTAGAGCTGTACCTAATCTTGGTGTCTTATCATTAGTTTAGTATATTAGTGTGGTGAGGTAGGTGAAAAGATGACCATAGAAAAAGAATTGAGGGAAGGAAAGCATGTTTCCTAATTCTTAGAACCCTGCTAGAACAAGGTCAGGAAGGAAGAGACATGATGGGCACTTCCCTAGCAGGAAGAAGCCTTCTGCTCAGTTTCCATGTTAGAGAGGTAGGCATTCTAAAATGAAGACAATGACCAAGAGAGCATAAATGCTCAGATAAAGGAGTCTAAAATGAGAAGAATTTTTAAATCCTAATATAAAAGTGGTAAAATAAAAGTAGTACGCTTCTTTACAAGGTAGCTTGTATACATCAGTCATCCAGAGTATGTGACCTGTCCTGGTTTATTAAAAATAAAAATAAAAAACCCCAACTATATGGGAGAAAGAGTCATGAAGAGGGAACAGAGTGGTAGTGTTCTCCATACTGGATAGAGCAAAAGCGGAGGGCCTTGCATTTGCTAGGCAGGTGCTCTATCCTGTGAACCACACCCCAGCCCAAGAAGGTCACATTCTTAAAATGCTTTCAGATTTGTTCTTCATTATTCAACAATGTAATTTCTCATGTTTGCACCATTTAATATTTTTGGCATTCCTGACTCTACGGACAACCTTTCTCCTCAGGTTAGGAGGATTGTGAACTCTCTTAAGAAGCTAAAAATTGTTATAGCACAAACACATAAAAAGATCTAAACCTAAAGGAAGGACCAGTTGTTGGCGAGGGCCAAGGAAAGGAGGGAGACGGACAAGGGATAGTGATGGGGAGGAGTGACTAACATAATATGCCTGTGTGCAAACGTCATAATGAAGTCTATTATTTTGTACAAAATAAGAGGGCCAGATATGATAGCTCATGCCTGTAACCCAGCTACTCAGGAGACAGATAAGAAGGATCGTGGTTCAAGGTCAGTCAACCAAAAAACCAGAGTCCCTCATTTCAACCAACTAGCCGAACATGGCAATGTGGGCATGTGCGTCAGTCCAGTTACAGGAGGCAGTAGGTGGGAGGATTGCAGCAGGAGGCCAGCCACAGGCAAAAACTTGAGATCCTATCTTCAAATAATTAAAATACAAAAAAGGTCTAAAGGAGTGGCTTGGGTGGAAGACAACCTGCCTAGCAAACTCAAGGCCCTGAGTTCAAATTTCAGTAATACAAAACAAAAAAAGACAAACAAGAAAATTGCTATAGCTAGCTACAGAACATAAGAATGTTATTCATACTGCAATTCATCTTTGGAAGGAAAAAAATGATTAGAATTTGTCAACTGGATTTTTAAACTTTTACCATGTTACATATCACATTATTTTCTTAACTTGCTATACTAAGCAAATGGGATTTCCAGAAGAAAGGTGCAGAGAAATATTATTTAATGAATGCCCATGATGTGACAGTCATGTGCTGATCACTGTAATAAATTCTCTAATTCAATCTGTAAAGCAAACATGTGACTTAAACATGTTTAATTGCACAAAATAGTGGCCATCATTGTAACATTTGCATACATGCACATAAGGTGTTTTAATTGTACTCACTCCCCATAAATGATTTTTATCTTTAATTTTATGCAGGTTTTGAGATGCATTTAATAAAGTGAGAAAATAAAACAATTTGAGTTAGAAATTCATAGGAAAAGTCAGAAAGGTGTACCAATAAAAAGTAGCAACATAGTTTAGGCAGTAAATAGACTAGAGAATATCGTCCTTCCTGGACTCCCAGAGCTTATCACATGCTTTTTCTGCAAAAGGAATCTGGGAATGAAAACTGAAACATTCCACATTTTCTAAGGAACTAATCTTGTCCTAACATGTTCTTTACTTCTCCTGTAATGAGATTATCTTGGAGGAAGCTAAACAGTGAACCTGTTGAGATAGATTGTGAGGACTTTGGAACAAGTTTCTTCCATCTAGAGAAAGTGGGATTGGAAAGGGACATAGCAGAACACAGAGAATGACTGAGAAGATCATACCCTAGATATGATTATCCTAAAATAATATCCTAGGGTTGAAAGGAAAATTTGAATTTTCACATCAGCCATGTTGGGTGAGAAAAGGAGTCAAGCAAGGGGAACAAGCCTCGCTGGTAGTGCCTTCCCCTCCCACAGTGTAAAGTAAATAGGTGACTTCCTATTCCTGGAAAACTGGGTTTCCTACAGCTTTTGGAGCAAGAAAATAAACATTAAAAGGCTCAGCTATTCATCACAGGATGGGAAAGGAAAATCACAAAACTATCACAGAGAAAAGAGGTTAATCATAATGAGCATGGCTGAGGAACGGATTCATTATTTATGAAAGTCCCACAGCTTCAAGGACAGTAGTGACCCCGTGACTGTGAGACACTCTATATCCACCTGTATGGGTATCCTCCAGTCCTCCCAGGACTACAAGCCTGAGAATGTTGGCAGCCATAGCAAATTTAGCTTAGCCTCTGATGTGTCTGAGGAGTGCAAGACCAGTTGGGACTTTTCTGTGTTTGAAATGTTCTAATGTCCCTTAATGAAATGTCTAGAAATTCTGTTGCAAGACAATTTGGTCATAGAATGAGAGTGCAAGACAGCAGCTGTGACCCACCACAGAAGCCTTGCTCACTGATTATGTCCTCTGGATTCATTATCCATACATATTTAAATGCTCACTGCATACTAAGGGGTTCCAGGAATACTGTCCCTGACCACTGATTTGTTTTTGTCCATAATATTTTTATAGTACACAGTGTATCTTCTTATTTATTGTGTTTATTTTTGGCCTCCACTCCCATTCAAATGGAAAATCCATGCACACAGATTGTGCACATTTTGTTGCCACTCTCTATCATCTGTGCATGGCATCTAACAGATAATTCAATAAATTTCAAAATCCATGCTATTTATTCACTGTCCCAGATTTGTATGTGATGATCTGCATGGCAGAATATTATTCTTTATGTAAACTAGTACAACCACTTTGGAAAACAATATGGAGTATTCTTAAAATACTAAACAGAGATCTGCCATATAATCCAGGGATATACCTAGGAGTGCAACTCAGGTTATTACATAGCTACCTGCACACCCATGTTTATTGCAGCACTTTTTATTCACAATAGCCAAGCAATGGAAACAGCAAAGATGCCCCACGAATGATGAATGGACCACGAAAATATGGTGTTTATGCACAATGGAATTTTATTCAGCCACAAGAAGAATGAAATTCTGTCATTCACAAGTAAATGGATGAGACTGGAGTACATCATCTTAAGCAAAATTAGCCAGGTTCAGAAAGCCAAAAATCACATGTTCTCCCTCATATGCAGATTATAGACCTAAAACAAATGCAGTAATATTATTGGACATGGGCCACACACTAAGGGGAGAATGTGCACGGGAGGGATAGGAAAAGGGATGGAAACCTAAAATTTGAATGTGGTTGATGTGCTCACTGCAGAGAAGTGAATATAGTACTCTTAAACTGCAGAGGCCACTGTGGGAAGGGGACTAGGAAATAGTGAAGAGGTCGGGTAGAGATGAACAATGTGGGTTGTAATACACATGTGCATGGAAGCAATGCTAGGAATCTCTCTGTATGGTTATTTTTGTCTCAAACTAGAAAAACACTATGTTTTTCTTGTTATCTTTCATGTTTTCTTTTCAACGAAATCAGAGAACAAGAGGGTGGACAGTTCTGCCTAGGAGCCAGGGATATGGTTCAAATAATGTATACACATGTGAGTAAACGTAAAAACAGTAACAAAAAGAATATTATTCCTTTGCATTCCATCAAGAATAGTGATCATGTCCAGAACAATGGGAAATCATGAAAAACGTCTATTAAAAGAAGTTTGATGGGTCACCTTATTTTAAGTGGTAACTCTTGGCTTCTGACTTCACATACTGTTTGTTGATTGTTGAACCACTGACCAATATTGATTGCATCACTCAACATGCATATCTCTCCTCATCAATATATCATGTGAAATAATTTCCTTCATAATATTTCAGTATGAATTTCTATAAGATCTGTTTTTAAAAATATGACTGTAATATATTGCTAATTAAAAAGCAGCAGTTATTTTTCAGTACCTCCAAATATCATATCAGGATTCAAATGTCTGATACTATTTTATAAATGTTATGTGCAGATTTTTTGACAGTCCTGGGGTTTGAACTCAGGGCCTTGCATATGTGCTTTGCAAGTGCTATACCTCTAGCCCTTTTTGCTTTAGTTATTTTTCCAATAGGGTCTGCTTTCCTGCCCAGCCAGCCTGGTCTGTGATCTTCCTATATTAGCTTTCCACACAGCTGCAATACCAGGTGCACAGCCACCACAACCAGTTTTATCTTTTGAGATGGGATCTTGCAAATGGTTTGCCTAGACTGGCCCTGAATTATGATCTTCTGGTCTCAGCCTCCCAAGTAGCTAGGATCAGCTATCATGCCTGGCCTACAGATTTTCTTAATCAGATTACAAATAAGGACATCACTTTGTCTTTGCTTTATGTGTTACTTAATTTGGATTTTAGGGGTACTTGTTGGTGATGATTATTATTTTTAGATTATTTTCAAAGTGTTGAGCTTGAAGATACATATCTTAAGGGAAAAAATACCATAGATTCATGCTGTTGTTTTAAATTAAATTTAGGACTACAGGATTTTAAATTATATGGTTATTTTATATTTCCATCTATTTTTTTCCTTAGAAAAATTTGGTTTCTAATCACAAATATAATTGCTCATTTTTTCCTTTCTCTCTCCCCCCTCCCATTCTGTGTATGTGCGAGAGAGAGAGAGAAACAGAGAGAAGGAGTGAGCTTGTACACACACATAGATGCAAGGTGGAAGCAAGGACCACACACACACAAATAAATAGGCTATTTATTCAGAATGTGCTATAGTAAAGGAGTCATCTACCATGACCCACCTTGAGCAGAGATGCAAAGACAGAGAGGGGAATGAGGAAATGGTATAGCGAAGGAAAGAGAATGCTTTAGGTAAGCTCTGTTTTAAGGTTGCTGACATGGTGACAGTGAATGAGAGGGGACTAGTAGTGCAGCATGTTATGTGATTAGTTTGGAAAGCATACTTAGTTTTCTGTGGTTTATTCTAAGTAGGGGCAACATGGGTAAGCTGGTAGTCATGATGAAATCCTTCTCATTCTAGCCCAGTGGCACAGAGGCTATCATTTAGCTTACTGGATTCTTTGCTGCAGAGGTCATGATTTGACTTTCTCAGCTGGTTACTGCACAGACTGTGGGTGATTTCTATTGTCATATATGGCCTGGCCATTTTCCATACTCTGGATATATATATACATCTATATATGCATTGGAATAATAATACCCATTGTTATTAATAATATGTTTATTAAAAACTGTCTTATATCTTGTGCAGCCAAATTTGTTTTTCAAGTATATTTTATTAAGTTATAAAACCTACTTTAAAACCACTTTAATAAACTAGTTTCTAAGTTCTTGAGTGGTTATACCCACAATATGAAACCTACTGTTTATTTTTATTTTGAGCTATGTCTTTTATTTCCTACTTATTTAACTTAGTTTTACAACTATCTTAGCTATCTTAAGTATGTTCCTGGTTCCAAAGTCCAGGAATATTCAGAAAATTCAAACTTCTGTTGCTGTACCATCTGTTGCAACTTTTATATGAAATCGTTTTTAAAATTAACTTTATAATGTATGTTTTTATTTTTAAATGTAAGCAATCTTAAATACCCATGTATTCCAATGAATGCTCATCTATATACAAATTTGTATAGGTAAGCAGTAGCGTACAAAGCAGGCTTCCTCTACCCTTGGCTTTATACTTCCTGTGTCATGAAGCTCTCTCCTTAGCAGTGTATAATTTTTTTAAAGCCTTGTTGTACTTAGAGGTATAATTCCAAAGCATTCCTTCTCCAGGATTGTTAAGAAATCTGAATGCTTTTAATTTCACTATTCCGTGCTGACTTTTAAATTTTAATTAATTAATTATTATGGCCATGATATTACCTCCTTAATATAATCATTTGTGAGTACTGAGGTTTTCCTAAATGTGTTTTGCCTTACTTCATACATCATCATTTGAAAATTAGCAAAATTGGCTTTTCTTTATATCTCTCTCTTCTTAGTTTAGAATGGGTCCTGGAGGAATTGCCAGATAATTGATTGGTTGACCCACATGTGCAGTTGAGGGAGTTTTAAAGATTCTTTTCTACTTACCACAAAGAAAGTCTCCTGAGATTCAGACACATGCAGTCGTTTAATTTATCTTGCTGTTTTAAGTGTCACATAAAGTTCAAAAAGCAGATTATTGAGCCATTAAACTAAGTTCTAAGATGTTTTATCTTCCTAATGGGATAACATGGAATATCTGGTTTGAGGTTTGATCTATAACCTTATATAACATGCTTTAAATTTTTGTTTAGGCAGTTTGGAAGGGCTTTATTTTACGAAAGAAACTAACAACAGCTCTGGAGGCTATCAAGTATGAAGAATCTGAAGAAGAATATGAAGAAATAGATTTAGAGGATTTTACATTTGATGAAGTAAGTGTGAACTATAACAAATAAACATTGGTCTTTAAATACGTTCAGTGTACAATTTTGGAGCTAAAGCCATTTTGAAGATGTTTATCATAGTAATTTTATACTACGGCTTTTCTCTATTTAATTCTTGAGAAATTATGCTTCTACTTTCCTAACATCTTCTTTATTTGCCCTACCAGCTTATAAAATGTGTAAAATGGTCACAGCACGGTTGCAAGAGTGCTTTGTACCCTTGGGCCAGATTCTCCAGAGGTTAATGTTATATTCAACCACAGTACAATTATGAAAGTTAGGGAATTATACATAGAACACTGTGATCTAGGTGACCTTATTCAAATTTTCCAGTTGTCCTGCTTGTGTCCTATTTTGAGTCCAAGATTCAACCCAGGCTTGCAAGTTGCAGCTACTTGTCATTTTTCCTTAGTCTCTTTTAAACTGGAATAATTCCTCATTTTTTCTGTGTATTTAATGAACTTTGTATATTTAGCAAGTATGGAAGTCCCCACTTACCCTTGGTCTGATATTATTAAATGGAAAATTCCAGAAATAAAGTTTATAAGTTGTAAAATTGCACACAGTCCTGAGAAGTGTGATGAAATATTATGCCATCACCCTCCATCCTGCCTGAGGCACAGGTCATCCATACTGCAAGAGCCACCTGCAGCAGCCACATAGGAGCTGTCTATCACTGGATCAACGGTTGCAGCATTACATTGCTGCATATCCAGTAATGCTTGTTTTCCTCTTGGAGTTGAAGTACAAAAGTACTGATGCTGGCAGTTTCTTTATGGTGTGTCAGAATTGTACTATGTTATTCTTCATTACTGTTTTATCTTATTCTGCTTAATTTATAGATCAAACTTTATTATAAATATGTATGTATGTACTATATGTATAGGTTTTGGTATTACATAAGGCTCAGGCATTGCCTGGTGGGGGGAGGCCTTAGGAACTACATAAATCTAAGAGTTTATTGTAATTTTATGATTGCATGTGTGCACATGTGACATGCCAGTGAGAATTTTGACATTCAGTAATATAGTATTTTTCAAATTTCCATCAGTAGAATTACAATCTATTTTAAATATTTTCTCTATTTTTTGCCACATCTAATTTACTGAGAGTCTCCAAATTTTCTTGCAATGCTGAATTATGAATTCATTAATATTATATCAATGAAACTATAAAAATGAAACTGTCATTGGCATATCACTGCTGTTAAACCTGATTTTTTTTTCCTAATTATAAGTAATCATACTTGAATCAAAAGTAAACGAGTAAAAATTTAACACTATTTTGTTAGGATAGAAAACTGCTTTTTGAAAAATGTTGGTGATCAGATTTCAGTATTAATATTTTTAAATTGGTGCATGGATAATACAATTATAAAATTTACAACCGTTTCATACCCTTCGTTGCTCAAATCTTAAATACTCGAATTAATCTGTTTCTCAAAATTCTCTTATTTACTCTTGGGGAAATTGTATTTTTATTTGTATTCAGCAAAAAATTTACAGCTATCTTGAAAACAAGTAAACTGCTTTAGAAATACACTTATATCCTAAATGCAAAATCTTTCTGGTTTACTTGCCACTGTAAATTTCTTTCTGATATTATTCAAAATTAAATTTGAATCTTTGAATTTTTGGTGATATGAAAAAGTTGAAGTCTATTTTCTCACTGAACAGAATTTGCTAATAGTGAACTTCAATATGGAAAATACTATTCATAATGACTTGTTTTAGTGAAAAACCAGTTTCTGTTCTTTCTAATATGATAGTACTGACTAAAAAATATACAAAGCTTTTTGATATATCCATAATAGCAAGATACCAGGAAATTTCTTTCATTGTGGTCTTGCACATTTTTGGTTGTATTTATTCCTAGGTTTTTGGTGTTATCTGATATTATGCTCAATTACTATGTAGAAATAGAATTTGTTTTCATATATTAATCTTGTATTCAGCCACTTTGCTTAAATACATTATTTTTAGTATATTTTCTGTCAAATATATTGAATATTATATATGCAAAATTATATCATGAGAATAATGTCATTTTCTTCTCTTTTCTAATTCTTATTCTTGTTATTTATTTATTTGGATATTTATTTTTTTGCCTCATTGTCCTGATTACTATTTCCAGTACAATATGAATAGTGATGGTCATATCAAGCATCTTTTTTCTAGTTCATAGTTTCAATGTGAAAACTTTCAACATGTCATCACTAAGTAAAATGTGTCCTATAGGTCTGTTGTAGAAACTCTCTGTGTATTAAGGAAGTGATCTTTCTTAGCATTTTACAAGTTACAATGTTCTTGGTGATGGTGGTGATGGTAATGATGAATATATATATGTGATTTCAATTTTGTCAAATTCTTTTTATTCGTATAACATTAACATGAGTTTATGTTAATGTTATATGATTAACTGATGTGCTAATACTAAACCTTTCATACCTAGAACAAATAATGCTTTTTTACTCTTTTTTTTCTTTTTTTTTTTTTTTTTGTGGTACTGGGGTTTGAGCTTAGGGTTTTGTGCTTGCAAAGCTGTGCTTTACCACTTGTGCTACACCTCCATCCCTATAATGACCTTTTAAAACATATCAGTATGTTTGCTAATATTTTGTTTCATGTTTTTCATTTGTACCCAAAAATAAGTTGCACCTTTAATTTTATCTCTTGTATAGATCTTTCTTCAGGTTTTGGTATGAAGATTTTGTCAGCCTTATATATTTGGTTGGAAAGTGTTTCCTCTGTTTCTATTTATTTTGGAAGCATTACATGTAAGATGGTATTTCTAAAAATGTTTCTTTTCACTGCATAATATATTGGGGAAATGTTCAATGTAAACTTAAAAGGAGTTGTATCTTGCAAATATTAAGTTGTTACTAAGATATCAATTACTTCAAGTTACTAACTGTACTTTTAAAATCTTCTATATCCTTAGTGATTTGGGGGAGGTGTGGCTTTTGAATTACTGAGAGAGAACTAAAATCTCTTATTGGGATTGTTGGTTTTTTTAAGAGGTTTTAGATGAGTTTGGCCTCCTCCTTTGAGGGTGTCTGTTAGGATATACACATTTTTGGGTAGTTCACGCATTGTCATGTGGTATGCTTGCACCAGTTTGCTCTTGTGTAGTATTTTCATAATATAATTTTCTGATAATTTTTACTCAATGTTTCTGTGGTTTTATATTTAAAGTGTGTTGATAATAGTACACACTTAGCTATATATATTCTGTATTCCTTTCTGAAATTATTTTTCTTTTTATTTTACTATCCAAATTATTTGAGTATAGTTTTGTTTATACTATCATTTTTTATTTGTCCAGTCTATTATTCTATGTATTTAATCAGTTTTGTATCTTTATTGTCTTCTTTTGCATTAATCCAGTATTTTTGCTTTTCTATTTTTCCTTCTTCATTAGCTTGTTAATTAAGTGGTGGTTACCCTTTCCTATGTACTTCATTCCTTCCCGCACACATGCTTCCATATGAGACCCTTTCCTTGGCCTGAAGGGCCCTCTTTAGTAGTTATTTTAGTATAGATCAGTTTTTGAGATTTTAAGTAAAATTCTTTTACTTAAAAATTTAAAGGGTGACTTCTCTAGTTTTAGAATCCAGAGAAGTTCTTGGTGTTTATTCCATTTTATTATTTTCTCTTCCAAATTTTAAATTCTGTTTTCTTCATAGAAGATAGTGCCTTTCTATCTTCATTCCTCAGATTATGGTTCAGGTTTATTTTCTGTTTTTTTTTTTTTTAACCTGGATATGATTTTCTTTGTATTTACCTTGCTTGGGATGAGGAAGGCCACACAGCTTCTTGAATCTATGCTTGGTATCTTTCATAGGTTTTGTAAATTCCTTATACATATTTGTTTCAAATGGTTGTTCTTTTTCATTGTCTCTCATCTTTGGAGGTACAAGCACTCAAACTACATATTTTAGAATTATTACTATTTCACATTTATCTTTTACATCCTTTTAGAAACTTCTCCCTTTTTTACATTCTGTGGTAGATTTTTTTATTTTCTACTTTTTAATTGACAGAATTATATGTATTTATAATGTGCAATTTGATGTTTTGAAACATGTGCAATATATGTGAGATTTTATATATATATAATATAATATAACATATTTACATAGTAGAATGACCAAGTCTAGCTAATTACCATATGAATTACTATACAAAATTAAAATTTTGTAGTATACTTTACATAACCTCTTACCATAAGCACAAGACCTATCTAACTAGAATTTTCCTATTTTTGTAAACTTATTTATGTAATAAAAACAGTTGCCTTTTGGATTAAGTCTTTTAGACTTTAAGATATATCAGATGTGCACTGAGGACATAGATCAATGACAGAACTCTTACCAACACTTTGTCACACCTCTGCCTCAATATCATGACACATTGTCACTTGTGTTTTTACTGTCTGCCTTAGACTATGAAGTCCTTAAGAGTAGGGATTGAACATCATCTAGCTCTGTTTCCCCAGGACCTGACCCATGTTGGCACCTGATAAATGTTTATTGAATTAGAAAAAAAATGCCTGTATCAATCTGCTGTGAAATTTTCCCTTTTACTTATTTGTTGCCTCTGAAACATGATTTTGCTCAACAAGTAGCTACCCAAAGACACCTTGATAACTAACAGTCATTTTGACTTACTTTTATTAAGTAATAGTTTACTTAATTTATTCAGTACCAAAAACTGAAGAATCTGAGCATTCACCCTATATTCAGTTTAACATGGTAGGCTACCACACTTCCGTAGATGCTGGCAGAAGAATTCACTTTCCCTTTGCCGTCAACTTCCGTGTTGGGGAAGGGATATGTGAAGAATTTCCTCCTCATATGCCTTAGCCCAAGTCTCCATAGATTTTTATGTTCTAGAGGAAGTTGTTGTGTTTGTTATATTGGACAGAAAACAACTTGCTTTTAACCCCAAAGGAACACCATCTTTATTTTCTAAGTCTGCTGGTTATAT